ATGTTTCTATCTCTCTCTCCTTCTCCCTTCCTCTCTGAAATCAATAAAATTATTTCAAAAAGATTAAATTATTATTGTCTTTGTATTACTTGACAAGTTGCAATTGCTTTGTTCCTAATTGCTTCCTACTGGAAACTGTTCTCTGCTTTTCTCCCAAGGTGTGGGTAAATAGATCAGCTACTTCTGGTTGGAAAGATGTTTTCATGTTGGCTCATAAAGATTTTTCTCTTGAGCCCCAGTTGGCCCTCCTCACCTGTAAGTAAAACCCTCTCGCAATCAAAACTGTGTTTATTCTGTTCTGAGTGTTGGTGCTATTATGGTGAATAATATTTACTCTTTCATCTCTAACACCTAGCATGGAGTCTATTTGTTGAATAAATGAATTGGAGGTATATTTCCTGTTTTTAGGGTATTTGGAGTCAGATGGGAGAGCTTACCGTTTGAAGCTGTGGGTCCCTGGAATTCCTGTCCTCACATTTGACCTTTTCCCTTAAAATTGCCTCAGGCCTACTCACTAGATGTTTCAGGCTTGTTTAACTTTTTCATGATGCTCAGTTCTAGCTGACATCTGGAGGCAGTTCATGGGAGGGGACATGTGGACCAAGTCAATGCCAACTTTCCCTGTAGCCTGACTGTAATAAATTACTTCCTTGCAGTAACCAGAGTCAGACTGTGCCTGGTTACATGTTTCTGTTTCTGGTTTGAAGGATCCCTTCAGCTCTCTACTCATTGATAAAGGATGATTGTTCCTGAGCCCATTGGTTGGACAAGACATTGCGTTTCACTCTCCTTAGCTCTCCTTTCTCTCCTAAATACTCTCCACGTCTTCATAGGTACCTTGGTGAAGGATGATCCAAAATTATATTTCCATAGTTTTCCATTTTCAAAACTACTTTTATTCTCCAATGAATGTGCTCTCACAGTTAATGTTTGAAATTAGAAGTTAGACCTTCTGATTCCTAGACTAGTGCCATTTTCATGTTATAATACTTTTGAAGATTTAGTGACTTTTGGAAATCTGTGATTGACTTAGTGATACTTATTATGGTACTTAATTATTAATCATTGTGACACTTAATTGTGTTCTAAATCAAATTTCTCTCTTTTCCTTGATGGCCTAAAAGCCTTGTAAGAATTGTCTTACACATTTTTTGGTCACTTTATCCTTGATCACTTTTTCCAGACTTTTGCAGTCTGGCTTTGACATCTGTCACCTTTACTCTGGCTATAATTGCCCTAGAAATTTCTTTGCGTCCTAGAAATTGACACACCCACTGGTTTTACTGAGTTCTACCTTCCTGGATCTTTTTTTTTTTTTAATTTAAACTTTATTTTCTTGTTTAAAGTATTACAAATACTAGTACATATGTCTCTTTTTTTCCCCATTGACCTTCCCCTGGTCTCCCCTAAACCCCGGCACATGCCTTTACCCCACCCCCCAGTGTCTTGTGTCCATTGGTTATGCTTATATGCATGCATATAAGTCCTTCAATTGATCTCTTAACCCCCGCCCCCACAAAACTCCCCAGCCTTCTCGCTGTAATTTGACAGTTTGTTCAATGCTTCTCTGTCTCTGTGTCTATCTTTTTGTTCATTAAGTTATAATGTTCTTTATTATCCATAAATGAGTGAGATCATGTAGTATTTTTCTTTCACTGCCTGGCTTATTTCACTTAGCATAATGCTCTCCAGTTCCATCCATGCTGCTGCAAATGGTAAGAATTCCTTCTTTTTTATA